CCCACAGGGAACCGACCCACTCTGCCAACCCAGCCCAGCCACCAGTGCCCTCCAGCCCCACGCAGCCCCATCCCACCTCGCTCTTTCCTGGGAGGAAGAAGGCATCTTCAGTAGGAAAGTATAACTTTGCCCCATCCCAGGAAGTGTTCCAAGTCCAGGCTGAACAGGGTGGGGTGAAGGGGCTTGAGGCAACCTGGTCTAATCGGAGTGTTCCTGCCCATGGCAGAGGTTTGAAATGAAATGAACTTTAAGGTCCTTCCCAGTGTAAGTGTCCCCAGTCCCCGAGGGTTGCCAGTCCCCAGTGCAGACAGGGCCACCTGGAGCCCATGGAGGCTGGGGGATGCAGGGGCTCCCCCCAGCTGGGGCTGGTACTGAGGGGACACCTGTGAGGTTCTGGGACAGCAGCCAGGAGCTGTGGGGTCCCAGGGCCTTCCAAGGCATGCTGGGAGGATGCTGCATGCGACAGCCTGGGCAGAGGGTCACAGAGCAGGGGCAGTGCCCAGGGTGGCGCTGGGGATGTGGTGCTGCCATGTGGCACAAGGGGCTGCCCAGATGTGTCTTTGCCTATCCCAATGTCACTATCTTCTCCCAGATGCCTGAGGTCCACTTGGCCATGTTGGCAGCACCAGCATCCCCTGCCAAGGGCAGGAGGAGTGTAGAGGGGCTATACTCACCCAGGCAGGGAGCAAGCAGCCCTGGGCAGCCCAGTGGGGTTACCCCCAGGGCACCGTGCAGGGGAAAGTCACCACCCCAGCACACAGTGGAGGGACATCAAGGCACTAGGAAGCTGCTCAGTGCATGTGCCCTCTCCGCCAGCACCACTGAGTAGGACTCTCGGGAAGCAAAGAGCCCCTGGGCACCACTGGACTGGCTTTGGCACAGCATGGCATGTCCATAAGGCCAGTCCTTCGTCCCTCCCCGTCCCTCCTCCTCATCATGGCCAGCCCCTTGCAGCTCTCCCCTCCCCTGCAGCCCGGGTGCCTCTTGGCTGGACCTGCGTAAAAATTATAAAAGGCTGTTTGGCTTGGAGCCGTCCAGAGGATCCCCGCCGAGCCTGCCAGTGCCATGGGGAGCAGCGGCGCCGGGGTTGCGTTGCTGACGCTGTCGCTGCTCCTGCAGCCCACGTCCCAATTCTGGCTCTTCAACGTCCTCTTTCCACCCACCACCACCCCAGAAGCTCCCCCGACCAACAGCACACCGCCCGTAGTACTCGGTAAGGTTGTGTGGGCATGGGTACCATCTGGGGTGTGGGTGGGCACCCTGGGTGCCCTGCAGCCCCCCAAAGCACACAGTGAGTTTTGGGTGCTGTGCTGCTGGTGACTCAGTGGGTTTTGGCTGTCTAGGGTTGGAGCCACTAAGATGGGGGTGACACACAGCTCCCCAGTTCCCTCCCATTTGCTGGGATAGGAACACAGGGCTGGCCATGCCCAGCCAGAGCTTTCCAGAGCTGGGGGGACAGTTGCACACCCTGGAAAGCAAATGAGGCTCTGATATTGCACATCTGGCCTAGAGGGTGTTTTAGGGCTTGCTTGGGTCTGGGGGAGCTCTGCTGGCAGAGGGATGGGGGCTGCAGCAGACCCTCCTCTGCTGCTTCCTACAGTGGCTGCCACCGGTGCCACTGGATCTACCGCCTCTCACTCCCCATCCCATGTCTTATCCCATTCCCTGGCAATGGCTAGCTCATCCTCTGCTGCTGCAAAAGGGCATCCATCTCACAGCCCACCCAACACCCACCCTGTCTGGGGACAAGCCAGCAGGAAAAGGGGCACAGGGAGGTGAAAGGAGAGGTAGGGACATGGCCTCATGGAGGTGGGAGCAGTCACCACCAGCTGGTACCTCCATCCTGCATGGCTCTGGCTTCCCTTGCCCCTGTGCCATCACCAGGGACTCGAGGTCAGGTTTTGCCAAGAAACTCCCGCTGAGCTGAGTTGGGTTTTTTCCTCCTTTTTCATGCCAAGTTTCCCCTTAAAAAAGAGAAGAGAAAAAGCAGAAGATCCCTCCCTGCTGCAATGCCAAGGGCTGACCCTGCAAACTCCCTTCCCAGAGGCATTAGGGAGCAGTATCTGGATCCTCTGTGTCCTGGAGCTGGTCCTCCTGGGGACAAGGAGATTCAGATTGCTGTCATCAGATACCTCTTTTCCAGGATTACTTGTGATAGTCAGAGCACCTCCTTTTTCCCTGGCACCAGCCTCAGGCCCTGGCCCATGCCCAGCTGTGTCTGGGTGCCCCATGTGCCACTCAGCATCTGCAAGTAACCCATCCCCCTGGACTGGGCGTCCCAGAAACCCCCAGTGCCCTTGGGACCGCTGATAACCCCTCTGCCCCCACAGGAACTCCCTTAATAATTACCTAATGTCCTCTGGAAGGGGAGGCAGAGCTCAGGGTTGTGTGCCAGTGATGGAGTGTGCTGGCTGTGCACCTCCAGGAGCCATCAGAGCTGCTCGTGATTCCACTCCTCTCTCTGACCAGGGAGGTCCCCTCTGCCTGCTCCCTGCAGAAACCCCTACAGCATGGACCACTGGATGGCCTGATCCCAACAGAAAGGTGCTTTGTAGGGAGGGTTAAACCCTCCCTGTATCTGGAGACATGCCACAGGCATGAGGGAGCTGTGAAGCAGGTTGAGAGCAGTAACTGCTACATCTCCTTTCCTTCTCACATGGCATGAGGCTTTCAGAGGCTGCACCATGCCCCTGGCAATGAAGGTCTACACCATCCCCAGGTGTGTATCGTGGCAAGACCCGCTGGGGCCATGGGATTCATCACCTGGTGCTTCTATCTCACCAGGCTCACTGTCCCCTGCAGTCCCTTCACCTCTTGTCTTCACCCTTGGGGCCAGTGCTGGCACTGGCTGGGAACCCTCTCCATAGTGTCTGATCCCAGTACAGGCACATATATCAGGGCGGCACTGGGATGGGAGTCCCATCCCTGCTGGGAACCACAGCGAAGCTCCCAGAGGCAAACCTAACACCCCAGTGATGTTCACCCTCCATCGAGGGAGGCCAGGTCACACAAACTAACTTACTTAAAGCTGCACTTTGCTTCCCACATGCACTATTCCAACTGAATTCCCGTAGGAATACCAACAGGGTATGGTTCTGCTCAGCACCAAACCATTTCAGAGACCTTGTCCAGAGCAGGCTGTTGCCCAGGGATGCTGCTCCAGCAGGTGCCCAGCCACCCCCAGCTGGGTAGCTCTGGGGGAACACTGCCTGGGGAGCTGAGGCAAATGCCAGGTTGGGCAGCCCCACACAGCCAGTGGGATGGGGTCTGTAGCTGACTCAGCTCTCCCTCTGTGGTGCCTGCAGTGCCTGGGTGTCTTGGGAACCAGCTGGAAGCAAAGCTGGACAAGCCAGATGTGGTGAACTGGATGTGCTACCGCAAAACAGAGGATTATTTCACCATCTGGCTCAACCTCAACACCTTCCTGCCAGTGGGAGTTGACTGCTGGATCGATAACACCAGGTATCATTCAACCCTACCCTGGGAGATCCCTGGGGAAATGACCTACCAAGGATCTCTCTCACCTCTCCTCCCCCTGTCCATGGTCTAGTACACATGGAAACACACAGGGACATGGCTCTTCTGCTACTTCCTGTCCTGTTCCTGCAGGGTGGTGTACAACCGAACCTCTCGGAAAATTTCCAATGCCCCAGGGGTGCATATCCGTGTGCCTGGATTTGGCAAGACCTATTCTGTGGAATATCTGGATCAGAGCAAGCTGGCAGGTGAGAGAAGGAGAAGCACATGGTGCCTGGAGATCCCATGTGTTCCCTGAAAATGGAGCTCTCTGTGTCTCCAGCAGGGATTGGTTCTGCAGAGAGCCCAGGCCTCCGGAAGCGAGGGACTAAGTTAGCCTTGTGGACACACTCCCTTTGAGTGCTGGCAGGGACCACCCCATCCTTGACTCCAATACACAATGGCATGCACAGAGCCACTACGTCTGGCTGGAGCCACCACGTCTGGCTGGAGCCACCAAGCTACAGAGCTTACCAGAGAACATTTTGGCTATGACCAGGACCAGGATGGAAAAAGGTTGACAGGGGAAGACCACAGACCTAATTCCCACCTGTTCTCTCTGCCCACAGGTTACCTGCACACCCTGGTGCAGAACCTGGTGAACAATGGCTACGTGAGGGACAAGACAGTTCGGGCAGCCCCCTACGACTGGAGGGTTGGACCCCGTAAGTCTGGGGGTTGTGACCAGGCCCCCCATGCAGGGAGGGAAGCAGGATGACCCTCATGTCATCATGCTCCCCTCTTGTCCACAGAGGAGCAGCCTGAATACTTCCAGAACCTGAAGGCACTGATTGAGGAGATGCACGATGAGTACCAGAGAGGTGTCTTCCTCATCGGGCACAGCTTGGGCAGCCTGCACGTCCTGTACTTCCTGCTGCAGCAGTCACAAGCCTGGAAAGATCAGTACATTGGGGGGTTCATCTCCCTGGCTGCCCCCTGGGGAGGGGCTGTCAAGCCCCTGCGTATCCTGGCATCCGGTGGGTGACTCCTTGTTTGCAGCCACCTCTTTGTTTTCTTTCCCTCCCGCAGAAAAGGAAGGGTGGGGGTGGGCAGGGAAAGGATGCAATGGTGGAAGAAGTGGGGGACAGATGGGTGAGGGGTCTGTGAGGCAGCACTCATGCTCTGGTACTGAGGCTGCTGCATCCCACTGCATCCTGCTGCATTCTCCTGCATCCCTTGGTGCAGAAAGCACCATGGAGGCTCCTGCCACAGTCCCAACAGCAAGACCAGTGGCCCAGGGTGGGTTTCAGAGCTTGCTCTGGTCTCTATGATTGTGTTGATGGGCTTATGTGTATGGAAAGCTGCTGCCAGAAGGGTCCACCTGCAGCCTGTCCATCCCTCTTCCTCCACACCAGCTTTTGGCAGACCACTTGGAGCACAGTCTGCACCATGGGCTCCTGGGCTAGGGGTGCTCCCGGAAATCCAAAGTACTCATGCCCAAATCTTGGGGACAAGGAAGCAGTACATGGAATGCTTCTCTCCTCACTGCCTCCCCAGACATCTGCACCACCTGCATCCATGCAGCACAGTGAGGTTGCTGGGCCTCTACTGCAAACCATACAGCTTTTCTGCAGCAGAGGACATGGATGCTTACACTCTCCTGCACCAATTCCTTGGATCTCCCCACATCTCTGTGGTCCAGAGAAGCTGTGGATGGCCCGTCCCTGGAAGTTTTCAAGGCCAGGTTGGATGAGGCATTGAGCAACCTCGTCTAGTGGAAGGTGTCCCTGCCCATGGCAGGAAAGTGGAACTAGATGGTCTCTTCCAGCCCAAACCATTCTATGATTCTGTGTTTGCTGTTTTCAGGCTTTAATTTCCCTTCAGCCAGTTCCTCTTTAGCCTCTTTGCAGCCCAGAAAGCCACAATCACTTGCCTAATGCTGACAGTCCAGAATATCTACAAGTCACAAGCCAAGCCTGTGAAAATGCATGGCATTAAAAATCATGTGCTTGAAGATTTTAGCATCTGGCCCCTTGCATTACCCCTAAGTAACCCACAACAAGGGCCAGAGATCTTTTTAAGGTCATCTTGCATGGTCTTAGGTCTCCAGACACACCAAAAATGCCAAGGCTTGCAGGAAACACACAGGTTGGCCACCTGCTCTCAGGCTTAGCTCACTCCTGTCCCTGCAGGCAGGCATGGAGGTGCCAGGGTTGCAGGGAACGTTCAGGACTGGGTTTGTTTGGGCCATCACACATCCAGGTTTGTCTGCACTCAGCCCCTCTGAGCAGCTAGACATGTAGAAAGAAGAGTTTGGAAGGCTGCTATGGATATCTACAGCCAGAGGGGTGAGGAGAGGATGTATGGTCATGGGCAGGGTAGGGGTAAGGAGAGAAAGAGCTGAGCAGGCACCAGGCAGGAGACAGCGATGAGTAACCGGTGGGAGGGGCTGATCCCAGCCCAGCTGCTCAAAGGCTCCATCTGGTGCTGTTTCAGATGAGCCCTTGTGTGTCCCACAGGTGACAATCAGGGCATCCCACTCATGTCCAACATCAAGCTGCGTGAAGAGCAGCGCATGACCACCACCAGCCCCTGGATGTTCCCAACCACCCTGGCCTGGCCTGAGAGCCACGTTTTCATCTCCACACCCTCCTACAACTACACCTACCAGGACTACAAACGCTTCTTCAGGGATGTCAACTTGGAGGATGGCTGGTACATGTGGGAGGACATGAAGGACTTGCTAAAGGACTTACCTGCTCCTGGAGTGGACACATACTGCCTCTATGGCACAGGCTTCCCCACCGTGGAGACTTACATATACGATGAGCATTTCCCCTATGAGGACCCCGTGGAGATGATTTATGGTGATGGGGATGACACTGTCAACACACGCAGTTCAGAGTTATGCAAGCAGTGGCGCAACCAGCAAAAGCAGAAGGTGCATGTCCAGGAGCTACGAGGTGCCCACCACTTAAACATGGTCTTCAGCAATGTGACACTCAGTTACATCAACGAAATCCTGCTGGGGAAGCCACAGGAGCAGGGGGAGCCGGGGCAGGTGGGAACCAGCCCAGAGGCTGGGAAGAGGGGCAAGATCCTACCAGGGCACAAGGTCCTTAAGGAGCCCAAAAAGAACTGAAAGGAGTGAGGACCAGCTTCCCTCCATGATGGTAGCCACCACAAACTGCCATGCAGGGGAGCAAAGGACTTGGAGCTGAGTTTGGAAGGAAAGCCAGCAAGACCAACAGCTCAGGTGGATGGGCTGGCTCCCACTTCCACACCGATTGGTTTTTCTTTCAGGAATGGCGATTAATTATACTTCGGAGGCTTGTCACTTCCCACTAGCACGTGGACAATTAACCATGCTGCCAGCTCATTAACATCACACTCATGAATTCCAGTGTATGCACAAGCCCTCAGCGCTAGCAAGCCACGTTTAGGCACTTTAGAGGCTGTGGAGCCCACGGTGCTGTAGCCTCTGCTCACCTGGGACAGAGCAACACACATAAAGAGTGCAGGCTCTTACCTACCAGGGTGGTCATGGAGGTGGCACAGGGTTGGCACAGCAGGTATGGCTTACAAGAGCACCTCTGCCAGGCAGCAAGCTAGGCTCCTCAGGCAAGACCAACTCGAAATCAGCAGATTTACAGGATAATAAACACACTTTGCTTCTGCACACTGAGCCTGCCTTGTCCTTCACAGCAGGGTAGTGAAGCCAGAGGTAACCAAAAGGTGAGGCCCTTACTGCCCACAGGCACATCAGGGGTCAGGGCTTTGGGAAAAGCCACATGTTTGGTGATGCAATTGGGGTTGGCAATGCAACTGGGGCCAGCAATGTGATTATGTTCGGGGTAACAATGTGGTTGCGGATGGTGACACAACCAGGGTTGGCAATGCAGCTGGTTTGATGATGCAACTGGTGCTGGGAAAGCAACTGGGATGGAAATGTAACTGGCCTTGGCAGGACAACTGGGACTGGTGACACAACTAGGGATAGTGATGCAGCTGAGGTTGGTAACACAGCAGGGGATGACAGTGCAATTGGGGCTGCAATACAGCCAGGGCTGGCCATGCAGACAAGGCTAGTGATGCAAATATGGCCCAGAAGTAGGACCTTGCACTTCATTTTGTTGAACTTCATGAGGTTTGCATTGGCCACCTCTCAAGCCTGTCAAGGTCCCTCCGGATGGCATCCCTGGCCATCAACCCAATGGGATGACACAGCTGGGGCTGGCGATACAACCGAGGCTGGCGATACAACAGTGCAGCCGCGCTCCGGGC